AAAAAGTTGGTGGTCAAAGGCCGGTCAAGCTTCACAGACTGGCAAAACCTGGGTTAGCCATGGAGGTGGAGGACCATCGATTCTGAACTCTACTGCGAACAACTGATGAGATAAAACTAATAAGTTTCCTCTCAGAGAGCTGCCGGAATAAATCAACAGAAGCGGTGTGGTTTTTCATCATGATAACGATAGACCTCACACATCTTTAGTCACTCAGCAAGAATTAAGAGAGTTTGACTGCGAGGTGTTAATTCATTACCTTAAGATTTCCACCTGTTTCGGTTTCTTCAGAATTCTTTAGGCAGTATCAAGTTAACATCACGAGAGATTTGCCTAAACCACTTGTCGCGGTGTTTGATCACAAGCCCCTAAATTTCTATAGCAATTAGATCATGTCCCCAACTACAAAATTTCAAAAAGTTATCAAAAAAAATGACACCAACACACTTGAGTTTAATATAAATAACCTTATTAAAAAATGTTTTCAATTTTCATATCAAATGAGAAGAAACTTATACCCGAACCTTAATGTCAATGTCAAACAGTCTACAATAATTAGTACATTGTTGCATTAAGCGCAAAGTGAGCTATTAATGCACGAGTGTTATGTTAGTGCCCCTCGCATGCGCTCGTGCAGTGCACTAATTCTTTTAACAGCGCGGCAATGTTTATGATTGCTTTATGTTTATCTAGCTTAAACATATATACTGACTTTTCCGAGTTTAAATATATGAAAATTATATATACGGAAAAGTCTGTTTATGTCAAAATCTTTTGTAGTTTATGGTTTTTTTATCTTCTTACATTTATAGTATTTCATATCGTTGTTTATGTTTTGTAATTAGAACGAGTGTATTTTGTCCACTGACATCGGCTGGAGTGACCGGTAGGGTGAGCAGAACTTGAAAATATTTCCAGATTTTTTTATTATGGAACTTTGATAGCAATGGAACTTTGACTTAGCCGAGTTCCGGCTTTTAAAAATCATTTGAAGTCACAGGCGCTGGGAACTGCCCCGGGCATTGCTCCTCGGGGTAGAAAGCACCTGGGATCGGAGCTTCTTTGGGGGTCGGGGTCAGTGAAGGAAGGCTCTTAGGGGATTGGGCACACGTGATCAAGTCAAGGGCACTGTCTCGGAACGGGGGCACTTGGGAGTGGGGTTTTTCGGGAGTCTGGAGCACCTAGGGGCAGGGGATCGCTGGCGTCGGGTTCACTTCGGGGTGAGCATTCCCGGGAGTCGACGGCGTGAAGAGTTGAATATATCAAGGACACTTAAGGTAGGGTAACCCAGGGATCGGGGGTTCCTGAGGGTGAGAGTTCCCGGGTAAACTGACTAAGTAAGTTTGGGTTAGTGTTACAGCTGACGAAGCGCCAGAACGATGTATTATTTCAAGATTTTTTAATTAGACAATTGAAGTTTCGTGTCGTATGACGGATTATTCAGGGCGACAGCGAATACACTATGATTCTTATTTAATATTAGGGTGGCGAAAAAGTTTCTTCGCATTTTATAGGAAAATTCATAACATGTTTTAATCAAGTTTATTTACATTTAACTAAAGTATGTAGGTGCCATTTTGTTCGAAAACTTTTTGCCATCTTTTAGGTAGGGACATGATCCCATTGCTATCGAAATTTTGGGGTTTCTGATCAGAAGACCGCGACAGTGGTTTTGGCAGTTCTCTCGTGATGTTAACCTGACACTGCCTAAAGATTACGGAAGGTGGAAATCGGAAGATACAAGGTCGGGACTATAAGGTGGATGCATTACAACTCCCAATGAAACTCAGGGGTGTAAGGGGTTCTAAATACACCTGTAAGAACCCAAGCAAACCTCACCTTCACGCGGTGCGCCCTATTGACCAACAGACGAGGCTCGCAAACCGACCAATGGCGGTATAACCATCCAATGACGTAGGGGAGGGAAATCTCACTGATGACGGGCAGCAACGTCATCAGTGAATTAACCTACATTTTGCGATTGCCAATCCGCCTGCCCAGCGTGGCGATTACGGGCAATACCTTGAATGCACACAGAACACAAGTCACGCCCCCCAGTTCCCGGCAGCCCCGCTATTCCTGGTCACGGTGGTGGCCACAGTAACGGGCCAATAATCTACGGACTACAGGAAGCCACCACAATAAACTGAACCCGGCGACGTACAACGGACGCACGCTACGGCTTGACTCGCATCTGGTAGGTGGAACTTGGAAAGATTAAGTGGCCCATTTTAGGAATGAAGTCCGAAGAGAGGGGAGGACACCATAAATATCGAATCGGGCCACCTAATGTACTTCCGCGAGGGACACCAATAGTCCCAAGGTCGCGTTGGGGTTTTGGCAAATAATTCCCTTGCCGATAACGTTGTACAAATGTCCAGCGTGTCTAACAGGGTAGTGTAACTTATTATAAAGCTCACCGAGAGTTATAGCCTCAATGCAATGGTGCAAGCGCACGCACCGACCTAGACACACTCGGACGACGAAGTGGAGGATATGTTAGATGATATATCGAGGGCCCTCCACTCCACTACTAAGACCCACTACAATGTTGTTATGGGGGACTTCAACACTAAAGTGGGATTACAGAATTGCAGCGAATCGGTAGTAGGATCCCATGGATTTGGAAGCAGAAATCATAGGGGGCAAATGCTAAACATGTGTGAGGGCTAGCCTTATCATGATAAAAAACCACATCTTCCAAACCCTTCTGTTAATTAATTTCGGCTGCTTTCTCTCAACTTCTTGCTTTAGTCTCATCTGTTATTCGCAGTAGAATTCCGAATCGATGGCCTGGCGGTAGCTCATAATGAATAATGTAATTTCAATCCCACCATGCACACAGCATCACTTTGTTGCGAGTTAACCAGGGTTTCGCCAGAGTCTGTGAAGCCTGACCAGCCCTTTGACCACGACCTTTTTCGCAAGTTCTTGTCGAACGTAATCCAATTTTCATCGCCAGTATCAAAAATGCTTCTTCAAAAATGGTTAGGTTTCATTACGTCGTAATAAAGAATCATAAATAAGTACAGTTTCTTTCAGTGAGCTCGTGACGCACCAAAATATCGAGCACTTTTGTGTACCCAGTTTTTTTCAAATGCGCCAAAGCTGTTTTATGGACAATTCCCAGTTCTTCAGATACTTCGTAATTACTGATATGGCCATCTTACTCCACTTTTTTCAAAAATGACATTAATTTTATCCGTAATTCAAATTTCCGGTTTGAAAACGCTTAAACCAAATTTGTGATACTCCCACAGACACTGCACTAGGTCCATAAACATTTCAATTTTTTTCGCGGCTCGCGTTGCATTTTCACCGTTTTGGGCTCACCTTTCCATTATATGTAATTGAGTTGCAAGCTGAAATTTTTGTCACGCAAAGTATTAACTATTAAAAACACGTACACGAAATCTTTTTTGGCGGAAACGAATAGAACTCGAGAAAAAAATTATTGAAAATTAATATTTTTGTAGGTTATGAGTCAATTTTGACATTATTTTTTTTTTCGCAATTTTCATGATCAGTGCTGCCATTTTTTTATGCAAAAATAACATGTTTCTCGTTGTCTATGGTAAATATAAGTTTATTATGTTGGTACTATTGTCAAAATGTGACAATTTACCGCCATTAATGAGATCTGTCAGTCAGTGTTTGTGTTTAAACTTGTTTTATTTAAACGGCTAAACTGTATATCTAAGGCCCAAGTGGTGATACTTCACACTAGGTTAGGTTAGGTTAGTGTTGTGACCTTAACGCGCGAGCCGAGCGAGCGAAGCGAGCGTGCCGCGGCAGCGGCCGGCGAAGCGCCAGAAAGAAAAATTTGTTAATAGACTTTTTCTACAGAAAAATCAAATATCACCTCTAGGCGCTGGAAGTACAGATTTACCTTTAAAACTCCTCTAATTTTTTATAATTATCATTTCTGTAAAAAAACGCCGGGAGGGGGGGGGGGGGGTTACCCTTCCCTCTGAGGGGTCTTCCCTAATACCTATCCCCCTGAAATTCCACTACAGATTTTATGAATTTTTAGGTTAGGTAAAAAAAAAAAAACTGCATTTCCGCCAAAAATCATTTATGGCGGGGGGGTCGGGGGGAGCCCCCCCTCCCCCTCCCCTACAAATTACCCCGAAATTCAATTACATATAATGGAATTAAGTACCCCGTTTTGTAATATTTATAATGTATCAAAATTTCTTCTTAAGATTCACTCATCTTGAATTTGGATTTAGTTATCTGCTTTAAAATTTAAACTTTTTAATGATACCAAAACCAGCCAGATCCGAATGGTATAGCCAAAGAACTTTTATTACAAGTTCATACATACTAAGTATAATCCGAAAAGACTTTTTCCCCAACCTATTATGATGGGAATGGGTTGCGATAAATAATAACATCGCTTGTTTGTGGTTTTTCGTTAAAATTCATCTTTCTAACCTACCGTGCCTTAAAAGATGATGCACCTGCACTGTTTTTTTGAGCAGTCATGTAAAAACTATGGGATAGTTGGTAAAATAGTATGAAGTATATATGTGACTGTGCTAAGTTATAATCCCATCAAAAACATCATGATAAATCATTTAGTACGGATAGAATAACTATATTTGTGTGTCGAGATGTGTAGACACGGTACCCGTACTAAATGTATGAAAACGATATCTCTCTGACGCATCACGTCACATCACAACACAACACGACAGACAAATATATTACCGGCTTAAATATTTTAAATAGTCTACACTGCAGTTGACTCTACGGTTTTTCCGTGTAGGTAGAGCGCTTTAATTACTTCACTCATAATTAAAGGAATGATTTACTGTATGACTTCACTACTAGTGAGGTATTTGTATACATGTGCGTGAGAGTGATAAGATAATAACTAGGTATAAGATTGTAAAGTTAATAATATGTACTTGAGTGATAATAACCACATTTTATAATGATTAATGATATTGTTTTTGGAATGTAATTGTAATAGATAATAATTGTAAAATACTTACCATAGTTAATATTTGGTTGTATGCTCGGTATTCGCAAATATTCTACGAAATTTAACACAGACGGGTTATTCTCGTAATTCCCAGACATTTAAGTAGGTTTTTTTTAATTCTAGAAATAAGGTTAGGTTGTTATTTCGATATCAGTGAATACGTCACAATCTGTGCGACAAGTTTAGACGAATAAATTGAGAGCGCCCGTCTCCTCTCTTTTTAAGTGCGCGTGCGCTGCGCCGTGTAGTTAGTCAGTGTTACCAGGACCCAATGAGCAAAAGCAATACATGACTATTAAAAAAGTAAAAATTTGGACTAAAAAGTAACGCCCCATGACGAATTTTACTGTCTTTGTTTAACCGACTTTAAAAATGAGATATTTCTCAATTTGTAATAAGAAGCAGGTACCTACATTATGTTGATGTATGTCCCAGGGCTTGTTAACGTTACCAATTCACATTAAAAATAACGTTATAAAGCGGTTCTTAATTCGGTAATTTCGATACCGGTAAAATTTTTAACGACAGCCAAGTAACAAACGATACTTTTAACGTTAACTAAGTTAAGTGAATTGAAAATCTACGTTAAAATAAAAAATATAGAGATTAAAAAACATCCAAATTTAAAAAAATAACATTCCTTATCCTTAACAAACATAAAAAAATTATTAAATAAGTGGCTTTCAATTTTTATTACAAATTGAAAGCCACTTACTTAATAAACTTATTTAATATTGATTAGATAAAATACCTAAGTAATTTGATAAAGTGAATAAATACGTGACTATAAAGTTAACATAACATCTAATCTATTCCTATTTTACGTTGATCAAACCTGTCCTGAAATGCTAATTCGTCTTGAAAACTACTGTGTTTTCTAACATACTTGTTATTATTTGAGTAACAAAATTTAAATAAAATATTTTTATTGCATGAGTTTTCGGATTTACTCATATTATATTTATTTTTAACCCCTTTTAATATTTTTTTTATTTTCACGTTTAATATCGCTTTTTACTATTAATATGGGTATATAGAAATATAATGTTGTATTAACATAATATTTCTCCCTTAAACTATTAAAACTCTTAACCCATTTTTCATTAATTATTATCAAACCTTTTTTTTGTAAATGCTTACAACGAAATTCAATATCTTTCGCTAGTCTTCTCTTCTAGGAATGACACAGACTTTATATAAATTTCGCATTTCAAAGGTGCATACACATAAATTATATTTAGAATGCACACACTTCTTAGTGTCTATTTTGTCATTAAAATAATCCTTAACAACTACGTTTACATAAGGACCTAGCTTTAACATGATCTACTTTCTTAACAGATTGTGATCTCGTCAATTGCGAACATACTTATTTACTAGAGAATGCAAATCAAAATTTACCGTAGCAGAACAGTGCCGACATCAATGTGCTAATATTACAAGAATTCAGATGTTGATCTAAAAAAATATTGGAAAACAGAAAATCAGAAAAGACAGAATATTTAAGATTGCAAGAAGCAAATGAAAGACTGAAGAAAAAAATTGTAAAATATAAATAACATTACCAAATAATTAAAAGCGATACAAAAGAAAAATGTGACGAAAGTGTTGAAGCAACCAAATATAAAATGTTAACTAATGCTATAAAAAAGAATTATCAACAAACAAAGGAACACGAACACGAAAAATTTTAAGAATATATTTCAGAGCGTAGCGTTGAAGGAAGGTAAAAAAGGAAAAGATTAAAGAATCACTGGGTATCAAAAAAATAAAGAAATCAACAAAAGTAAAAGCTAAATCTATAATAATAAATAATCTAAAAAAAAAACACTGGAAGTGGACGTTTCAAGAGCAACCGCTGGAAAAGAGGAAACGATTATTTACTAGATGTGGAGAAAAAGTTCGAAATAGATTCTTATCAGAATCAATGCAAAATCTTTACAAAGCATTTAAGCTAGAAAATCCACATACTTACAAAGTGCTCATATTAATATTATACTAAAAACAAACCTTAATAAGTCGTGAAGCCTTCTGTAAGTGGACGCGACATGTGCTTGTGTGAAACTCACACCTATCCAGCATATAAAGCAAAGCACTAAAAAAATATTAGAACACCCGTTTGGGTTTTTTTTGAAACACTTATTTATTTATTACATTTTAAATTGATGAATATAAGGGTCAGGCCGCCATTTTTTGCTGATTTTGAAAACTGTTTTCTCCGCCGTCAGTATTTTGAAAAGTATTATAGATATCGGATTTTCGATGACGGCTTTGCATTAAGCAACAAAGTGGACATTATGATTATTTCAGGTCAGATAATAAACAAAAAATATATTTCGAATGAAATCTGAAAAAAGGTAGTAAAATTACATAAAAACTTCTATCCGCCGAGGTAGAGGTGCACTTTAACTATCGTAGTAGCAAAAAGTATGTCAGTTTTTGAGATGGCTGATACTATAAGAATACTTATATTAATAGCTATCCGTGCTTTTAATTTAGCAACGTTTATCCTAAGAATTTCCTTGAAAATGATTTCAAATAAGTTTTCGTCAAAAACTGTACTTATACGCCACTTTTATCAACGCCACCTATTTTCCATGTTCTATTAAACTTTAATAATCGGTGAAGTTCAAATCGGGAAGTGGCAACGCTGAGTTTCTGTAATCTGTGGACAGCGGCTTGATGAGCGGCTATATTTTTTTTGACAGTTGACATGTGAACGTCTGGTGTAGTTTGTGTACACAATTTTTTTAAGGTAAGATTTTTGTGCATAGAAAAGTAAGTTTGATTCTTACGCGAAAAACAAATAGTGCATCATGTTAGTAGAAGTGAAAGCCATGTTTGGAGCTATAATGCAACTCAAATCATACTTTATTTACAGAGATATAAGTGGTTTTCTCAACGCGACGATAGCGTAGAAGTAGAAATACGCCACCATTTTGGTACTTCAACGCCAACGGTAGCGTAGATATTCGTCACCTCCTGTACGCCACCAAATAAAGGTGGGTATCCACTCGTTTTTATTATACTAACTTTTTACCTGACTGCCGAAGAAAGGAGGGTAATGTTTTTCGAGAGTGTATGTATGTATACTAACTAAACCCATTCGTGTTATTTCAGCTTGTATTTCTTAGGCTGCAAGGCATAGATCACGGTAACATAATGGTCAGTGCATCTGCCCGGATAGCGGAGGGTGCAGTTTCGAGTCCCGTCTGCTGCCTGGACCGCGTGGAATTTTTTTTAGTAAAAATTTTCTTTAGATTTATAATCTAGCAAATAAATGTTTAAAAAATAAAAATATAATAAATGTCTAGTTGATTATAAAATTGTTGATGTTTTTATTTACTTAGATATAGGGAACTACTTCTTATTCTAAATTCAACGAGCTGGTCCATTAGTGGGGGTCCATTATTAAATTGTGTCATTATTTGGTGCATGTTCATCACTGGATGTCCATTAAATGATTTTCCTTGTCCATTACTAGCTTAAAAAACCGTGTTCATATTTTAATGATATCTCTCATTTTTATGCGGTTATTTCTAACTTTTTCGGCATAAGCATAAAGGAAAAAAGACGGACATTAAGCTCAACATTGATGTTTAAACAAAATCCTGATATATTAGGAATAATCCTGCAAAAACCCACCTTTTCATCCTTAAAGTGTCCATAATTGTTGCAATTACGTTATACAACATAATTTAATCTTAATATTTTGGCATGTGTATGCCAACCTTAACATTTATTCGTCACTATTATACGCTACTCAACGTCACCGACGCGTAGAAGTTTCTACGCCACCAACACAATACTTCTGCGCCATATCAGCAAAAAATGGCGGCCTGACCCATAACATAATTGTGATGTAGAGGATTCATATTCATATATTCATATTCATTTGTTGTTTACATGCTGTTACAAAAAAATATATATATCATTCCAAACAAGAACCCAGTTAGGGTAGGGTATTGCAATAATCCTAAACTAAATAGATAGAATCTACAGTCACAATTATGAAACGTTCCAATATTACAAATTTTTAATCCTGAATAACATATTGTAAAAAATAATTCAATTGTCCAAAATATAATGCAAATGTAAAAATTTTAAACTTAATACTAAGTAAGTAGGTAGATCTACAGTCATAATTATAAAACGTTTCAACATTAACAAAATTTCAATCAACCATTTAAAAATTAATTCAATTGTCAAAAATGTAATCCAAATGTCAAAATTTAAAACTTAATACTAAATAGGTAGATCTAGTCATAATTATAAAACGTTCCAACATAATAAATTTTCAATCTTGTATAACATATTTAAAAAAAAAAATATTCAATTGTTCAAAATATAATGCAAATGTCAAAAATTTAAAACTTTTTACTAAAATATTCATTAATTGTATAAAATGTCTTACATAGTAAAAAATTCTTTAGTGCAGGCTCAAACTTTTTACCCTGGAGGGTCTTTAAGGAATTAGGCAAATGATTATAAACTTTAATTGCCATGTAGTAGGCGCTATTTCGAAAGACCGTGAGTATCGGTGTGGGCAAGACGAGATCGTTTCCGCGGCGCGATACATAACGTTTTGACATGTCACCGATGCGACAAAAATACTTACTATGAGTTCTTACAAATCGGCATAGCTCAAATATATAGACGCAAGTAACTGTTAGTATGTTTAACCTTCCAAAAAACATTCTACATGAGTCTCTTGATGCTGTGAATGTTATTATTCTCAGACGGCGTGTACATCGGTTGAGTTCCCCCATAAAATGATTCCATATCGAATCCAAGCGGCGGCATGACTGTGGTACGCGGCAAGTGCACACTCCTCGTTTGTGCTTTTACGTAGTTCGCGTAGTCCGTATGTAAAACTATTCAGCTTTTTTACCACAGTCTCTACGTGCTGCTTCCATGAAAGAGTCGAGTCCATCGTGATTCCAAGTAGCTTAAATGATCTGACTTCCTCGATTTGACGCCCCTGTCTAGATATGGTCAAAGATATCTCAGATCTCTGGTACGGCCTAAACTGCATTAGTTTAGTTTTTTCAAAGTTCAGTATTAAGCCTATCCACTTTAGATGTGCTTCTACTTTATCTAAGCAGTCATTTATAACGCTTGCCAAACTGTTTACATTTGTTTGATCACAAGTAACCAAAATGGTTGCGTCATCTGTAAATAATACTACTTTATGTGGCACCACGTCAGGAAGA